ATCATAACATCCAATATGTAAAAAAAGTAAGTAAAATCTTTACTAAAATAAAAAAGGCTTTATTTATTGGCCTTGTTTGGCAATCAGCGGTTAGCTGTTAGCGGATTGCATTAGCTGTTTTGACTAGTGGACGATGTTAGTTGTTTTGACCAGCTGTTCCAAAAGAATGTTTGGTAAATTAACTATTTTTAATCAGCTGTTAACATGTAAAATTACTTATATGGGCATCTATTCTTTTATATTCTTGTTTATTTAAAATTATAAGTATATAGAAAATAACTATTATTTATATTTAAAATATTTGTAAAACGACTTAAAATAACATAACACAAATAAGAAAGAAAAATATATAATTGTGAGGTGAAAAAAGTGATGAAGATTGTAATTTGACATGATAACAAATATTAAAATAAAAAAATAAAATGAAAAACATAAAATGTAAAAATTCGCATATCAATTATCAACCTTTAATCTTACTCTTCCTCTATAAATTTGATCACTCAATCTTTCTTTTTAATTTTTATTTTTACAGAAATTCACTTAATTTCAAATGTCAATGGAGTATTCAAAGAAATTTGAGTTCATTTATAATCTCAATTTTATTTTTAACCCAATATATTAATGTAATAAAATATAAATCTATTTTCTAAGCTAACTTTGATTTTTAACCCAAATATGCTAGTGTGTTAAAATAATATGAGGTAGAGTTAATGAATGGCAAATATGTCATTTTATATTTTTTTCCTCAAAAAGCTATTTGAAAAAGCTTCAATTTGTAGCTTTTTAAAAAACAACTTTTAGATCAAAAAAGCTATTTCCAAAAGCTATTAACCAAACATTTTAAAATTGAAGGTTTCAAAAGTCAAACAGCTATTTTGCTCAAAAAGCTAATTTGTGGCTGAAAAGCCATTTAACAAACATCGCCAAATCCAATTGTATATAAATTTGTTCTAATTTTGTTCAAACCGATTTCTGTATGTTCAAATTCAAATTTTCTAATAAAAATATTAACAGGAGTATATATATCAACTCTTCCCATTATAAATTACAAATCTCACAATATCAAGTCATCATCTTCCTCACTGTCAACCTCTTGCGAACAAAAAATATCCACAATCAGTCTTTTATTCAAAACAATGAATCAAGGATTTGAGTTAATCAAACAAGTCAATAGGTCTAATAGACCTATGCTCAAAGTTCGAATTGTGAGAATATTTTTTCAAGACTGGGGCAACACATACAAAACATATCTCGAGTTGGTTATGCATGATAAAACTGTAAGCTAAATTATTTGAATTGTTGTTTCAATTTCGAAATTTGAAACGTATATTTTATTTTTTTTTATTTTCGTGTATGTATTTAGATATTTTTGTACATGTTTAGTGAAATATATTTTCAATTTTTTTTAATTATATTTTTAGATTTGCAATTTGGCTTATTTATTCTACATATCGTGTATGTAGTTAGATATTTACATTATTTATATTTATTTTCATGTATTGTAAAACTGTTATTGATTATTGCATCTTCTAGTATAATAATCCCCAAATAAATATATCTCGTACCTCGCACATGTCACGTACTATATATATCCCGTACATTTTTTTTATTCATTTATATAATTATAAGGCTGGATAAATGGCCTTAAAATTGTGCACCTCGTGCATCGCACGGGCTCTGTACTAGTGTGTTCTTAAGAACTACCAATAGACTTATAAGCATAATGTTTATAAGATCTCAAGCCCTTTTTTTTCATCCCGGCCATTATTAGGTTTTGGGCAAAATATGAAAAACGACGCCCTTCTTTTTTCGTTCGTAGTTATGAAACTTATATAGATCTCAAGTCACATTATAAGATTTAAATAAGTACATTGCTTCGAGCTGCAGAGTTAATCATATAATTTAAGGGTGAAACCGTAAATTTGAAATGAATGCATGACATAACTTATATGAGATAAACTCGGTTTTCTTTGTATATAAAACTATCTACCAAACTAAGATTTTCTAAATGCAAGATGTTAATAAGCAACTTTAAATGGACTTCATCTTAAGTATGAACATCATTATTTTACATAAAAATTATAGAGTAACACTATAGGTACATAATATTGTACATAGTGGTGTATATAACACTCACATTGAGTGGGACCACCAAAAATAAAAAAAAACTGGACCCTACTTCATGTAAGTGTTATGTACATCTTTATGTACATTTATTATGTACTTGTAGCATTTTATAAAATTATATAATTATGTATAACTAGAATATTTCATTTATTTAAATCCTTATAATTTTGTGGAGAAAATTTAAGTCTCCTATTATTTTACTGCACTTTTATTGAATTACAACTCATATTAGTTTAGCCTTTATTACCTAGCTAAATGTTTTTTTTATTTGACGAGATAATAATTGATTAGAATAAATATAATCGCAAGCGAATAAGAAAAAAATATGAAATAGGATTAACCAATAAAGAGCTAATTGAATAGGAGTTGGTTTTGATTTATAATTTCATTAAAGTTACATAAAATACTTTAATTATTGTTAATGAAGTTCTTTTAGTATTTGTGGAAAAACCTGCAATATTTGTATTATTTTAGTGGCTTTATACAGTAAGTATTTAGTACATGAAAATAAACATTTAGTATATGGAATATTAAATCGAGCTAATTATATGTATTGGACCTACAAACTAGACATATATTAAATAGAAATAATGAATAATACTGACCCCTTTTTAAATTGTGTCATGTCATGTTTTAGCTAATTGTAGGTATTGGGCCTAAAAACTAAAATATTACATTATATCGAATAATTGTATGTTTTTAAACTAGGACATTACACATTAAATACTAGGGCCCCTTTTTGAATTGGGCCAAGGCCGACCTTAATATAGGAAGCAATCATGAAATCTTGGTCATTGATTTTGATTGGTTTATTATGTAAGGACCACATAAATCATTGGAATAATAGTTAGTTAGTTTAAAATGATTTAACTAATTCATGATAAAAAAAAAAAAAAGGTTCAATCTATTTTCTCCTAAAACCGCGCATAGTTTTTCTACACTTATTTCTCTCATTTGTTCTCACCTCCATAGCTCCAAAGTATGAACCTTGTATTTGATAAATAAGTATGCAATTTAAAATTCTAGCCATATTTATGCACCTTTTTCTCTTTTTCTTCTCACTTCCATAGCCCACGAAATATGCACTTTGTATCTGCTAAATAAATATTTATGATAACTAAGTATGCACTTAAAATATTTAATTATGAAGTCTAACAAAGAAAAATACACATTGATAGTAACTAAGTATACATTGTGTATGAACTAAATGTGCTATACTAAAAATGACGGTTGTTCCGGTGACTTTTGTCGTTCCCCCAACAAGAAGCCGAGCAGCCAGCCATGGCAAACAACTAGACGACCACCGTGGATATTTCCACAACACCTAGGATGTCTTATTCGGCTTCTCCATCAGCACGATCGTCAGCCTAGTCGATCTTCGACGTCGTGTACGTCCACCGCCGCCTCCTATGCCCCATCGTCGGCCCGGACTTCGATTGGTGCCCATCGTTCAACCAATCATTGATTAGAATTTGACCACACATTTACAAAATACTTATATATTATGATTTTAATTTGCCTCATATTTTTAAGAACAATGACTCATTTTATATAAGATCAATTTTTAAGAATAGTGTGGTTCCAGTTAGACCCATTCTTAAAATTAGAGCGTGGAGATGAATTACAATCATCCATTGATACAATAAATATGATTTAATCATCATTTGACTCGCTACATTCCTTTTTTT